GGCAGGCTACACCTTTCACTTCCCTGCCTATAAATCCAACTCCTCACACCCTATTGGCATATTCATCGCCCTGATGACGGAGGCAGTATGACCTTTGAAACGTTGGTTAACATCGACCAGACTACACAGCGCAATAACCCAGAAGTCAGAAATCTTCATTCCCTAAACACTTTATAAGGGCTGGCGCACGAGCGGTTTTTCTGCCGCACCGGTAAAACCACCGCAACTGGATATTCTTTTTCGCCTGTCCACACGGACGGTGAAATAAACGCATTGTTCGCGTTTTCTTTTCAGTTGGGTGCAAGATTTTGTTGAGACTGTCCCTGTGTGAGCTTTTTGCTAAGAGCAGGGGCAAAGCGTAGAAATAAATTCTGGTTCCCTCCACTTCTAAGTCAAAGATTGTCGAAAGCCCAATTTCACGAGTTATATGAGGACCCGCGGATGTATCCAAAGAAATTATTCAGATACTTTCTTTGTTTCGTCACGTAGGCTCGGGTTCGGCTGTTTCAGAAAATAATCCCCGTTTATTACCAGAATCATACGAAGCCCTTGCATACGACCAGTGCAAAGTTACCACTGGTCTTTTTATTGGTTAAGTTACATTTTAAAATAGCCTGTGGAAATTTTACATAATTCACTGTCGATAAAATATAAGAATTATTATTATATTATATTATTATTGGATGTGTTTTTGAAATGTGTGTAAGGTGGAATGTTTTTGTACGAGTGGATGTCTAGTTACGTGTGTGGGGTGTCCTATGGAGTGTACTTGTTTATATGTATTTTGTTGCAATTGTGTGCAAACCCAATTGCAGTAAATAAATAAATAATAATTAATAACAATGTTATATGAAAAATTCTATTAAAGAAACTAAAGGTACAGGCTTTTTTTATACAATTATGAACGAGATCTAAAATCAACAGACAAACAAACACGGCTAATAACAGCTGGAAAATTTCGAATTTGAACGGCTTTGGTGAATGTTTGTACAAAGTCAGTGATTTTCACAAAATCACGGAAACATTTAAAATTACAGTCCAGTGAACAAACTGATTTCGACCCAACGGCGTAACTAATTAGTTTTTTTTTGGAAACTACGTGCTGGATGTTTTGGGATTGAACAGACCCGATGTAAACACGTACGAGGGGAGGGATTCAGAGACCCTTAAGCAAAACATTGGTGAAGTCGTGGGGGAGAGACAAAACGAGAACTTTGCACAGACGTAAAATAGAAACGTAGGAAAATTCAAGGACGACAATAAGATTACTGCGCAAATAAACAGATGTAAGGACTTGACGAAATGCCCGAAGACCGAGCGGGATTAAGAATCAGTGGAGAAAATACAATCAGATGATGACAAAAGGGCTGTGGGTTTGTGGTTCGTTCGGTCACGTAACTAAAAAAAGACGCTGATACCTGGTGCTACGTGACGAAGCATCCTGTCGGACCGGTTCCGGTTTCCTCAGCTCGCAAGTAATTAGTCATCGCGTTAAATATACGACAGCCACACTGCGCAATTTGATAGGCAAGTCGTATCCAATACACGGACTCGGTGTCTGTGCAGTCCCAGATTTCGCACGAGTCCGAGGGAAAGCCACGTGAAGCTTGAAGTCAGGAGAGCAGAGATTGTGTGAAAAGCGTTCCGGCTAGAAAACGAACCGATGGTCACAAGTCTGCGGACACGCGGAAAAAAGTAGCAACTTAACTGACGTCACTGTGCTTCCGGCTGGGAAAGTCGGCTCCGGCCAGCAAGTGTCAAAGCGACAACACCAATGGAAGAATCCTTTTTGTGTTCTTTGCGTCGCTTTGATGAATTCAGAACACTGTCTACACCCCTAGAAGTACAGTTTTACATGTCAATCCATCGAACGACAGGTTTGGAAAAAAAAACCGTCTACGTCACTGGAAATGAAACACGTTTTGTGGAGAAACAAGGATCCCAATCTACATGTTTCTAGACAGGAGATGAGACGACTCTCAATTCAACAGCGGAACCAATTCCTCAAATTTTATATGCTATGCTGTCATCCCAAGATATTTTTACTTCACAACATTTTTAAGGATTTGTTAGTCATCTTCATATATTGATTTTTTTAAAGCAATATATACTACATGCAGGGTGCATGATGATAATCCACCACTACCCATAGAGTTAAACTAACTCCAAAACTGTTACTTCATTTTATCTACTGCAAGATCACAAAAAAAATCTGTACTTGATATTTTCTTCTATTCAATCACTGTATCAAGCAATTCCACATTCCCAAGATTTCATATAATATACAGCAATGGAATCACACAAAAATTAGCAGAAATTAAAACGTTACAGACGTTTAAGAACTGCGTGAAACACAATCTCAGATCAAGATCACATCAAAAGAGAAATAACAGTACAATGAAAATAAATAAACGTTCAATAACCTAGAAGATTTTGAGTAACTTCAAAGTCGTAACTACATGAACTGGTGTGCAAATCAACCAACTGAACACAATATATACAATCTTCTCTAGATGACAGATTAGACTCACTGAGGATATGAAACAAGGCCTACAAAGAACAGATTGTATTACAATACTGCTGCAATTATCCCTTTATTATTGCATCATTTCAACAAATCATACTATGGCAGTTTGGAATTCTGTCTCCAATGTTCAACATTTTCTTTTTTAATAAACATGGCAAAAGAAACACTTTCTACCCGTGCTTAACGAAGTGTGGCCAAGTGACCGATTATGAGAAATTTTCCAGTTTCTAATACAGAAATCCAACTGTCCATTGTTCACAATGAATGTATTTTTAACTACACCCCGAACTCGAAAGTATACCATCTTAGTAGCAATTGTCACTTAGTAGAATTACAAACCACCAAAGTTAAGTCTAACCGCATAAAACTTAAAACAAAGTCCTGTATTTAATTACCATTTGGCTCACTGTCCAACAACCTTACCCCTACATGCATCAGCTATTCATTACTGCAGCCTTGCGTAAACATCGGTTTAAAAGAAAACTTGAGAACTTGGACTGTACAGCCCGTTACACTGTAACGACATTCCTAATAACAGAATAAAATGCCTAACATATAATACATATTTTTCTTACCTGAATTTGAGAAACTCACATCTACTCCTAGGAAGGCGAGAAAAAATAAGCAAAAGCAAGAATACCTCCACATAACGTGCAACGCCATTTTTAACTTTCCACCTTCTGACGTCATTCACAACTTCTTCTTTTTCATCCTGAACTTCCCACAGAATGCGCACTTTCGTGACATCTACTGTCGGACCTTTAAATTACTATAATAGATGACAATCACCGGGCACCAACGAGGTCGGAATATTGAAGCATCAAACGTCGTGAGGGCGCCAAAGACAAAGCAGGCGTTAGAAATGAATACGAAATAGCAGGCAGCCATTTACTGTAAAGGCAATTATGACGTCAGATTTCAGGTTTCCATGGCGGCAAATGTGAAAATGGCTGTCCTATGATGGCGCGTGGCGTAATCTGATAGAAGTTTAGAGACGTCTCAGAGGTTCTTACTGCCTCTGTCATCAGGGCGTTGAAGATATAATCAGCAAGGACGTTTGAAACTTTGGTAAATTTCTACTAGGATTTCACACCAATTTAAAAGATGGCCATCTTCTGATTTCGAAGTTTTAATATGCATTATTCCTTTACTAATTTTGAAGTAAAATGCTGCCAAGGTCTTTTAGCTGCTAATACATTTTTGTATCCTGTGATGTACTGTATTATTACACACTTATTAGCATATAATATAAAGTAGTGTAGTTGCGTCATATTGTGATTTATTAAATTAAAATTAAATTATTTGGTTATTCCGTCAAATCACAATGTATTTAAAATAAGATAATTAAAATAATTAAAATATCATTCTTTGTTCCATATCGAATAATCCAACTGTAAATCGATTAATCGATATGGAACAAAGAATGATATTTTAATTATTTTAATTATCTTATTTTAAATACATTGTGATTTGACGGAATAACCAAATAATTTAATTTTAATATTAGCATATGTTGATAATTTTTTAACAAGAGTCACGCCATAAATCTTTATGTTCTCTTTTCTTTTAATTTTGACATTTGGAAGAATGGATGAGCGAGATGTACGTACATTGTTATTTCGATACAGGCATATGGTGTCATTTCATTTGTTTTGTTCTCATAACAGAGGTCTCAAATAATTGAACAGAAGTTAACAAGGGGCTCACAGGAGCCCCTTTAAGGCCTCGCAGCACTTCTTGGCTGTTTCATTACGCGAACTATAGATTTATTATTACCAAATTAATGAACACTTCAGTTGCGATATGATACATCCACTGCCAACACGAAACTTGCAGCAAAATTTTGAGAGATTAAGATATAAAAGTGTGATTATAAGGCAGGAACATTTTTCCTTCACTAGACAAGTCTCGTGGACTCAGAAAAAAATATCACAGGACTGAGTGGCCGGTTCGGATAGGAATTCGCAAGACTCCCATGTTTTAATTTGTAATTCAAGTTGGAAAGCAGATCTTTTGGGAATTATTCTTCCAGCAGAGACTCTGATGTCATTGGTGATAAGTGCAGTGGAGATAATGGACAGAGCTGGCATAGTAAAATTGCGAGGCCTACTAGACAATTAGTCAGTCATGCGCGTCCCCTGCTGGCTGATCAATAAGTTAACAGCTCAAAGCTGCCGTCACCACAGCCCAGCGTGTAGGCCACTCGCAGAACTCGGCATCAGTGGCGTTTCAATAAGAAATTAGGTTTTCCTAAGGCCCTCCTCCAACAATTTCACAGGAAACTGTGGTAAACGAGGGTTCACCAAAAAACTTGTTCCAGCCCTGGATTTAGCAGCTGGATTTCTGTTGACGTCGAACCAACTAGTGAATTTATTGGGCGATAGGGCATCATGTAGCTCGTTGGTAGGGTACGTGGTTCAAATCAAGTTACAATGGTAAATGGATGTTGGAGGCAGAGACACTCTTCGAAACGTCGGATTGTAACTCACACGACTAATCGCGGGAGAAGTCTTTAACGCGCTCTAACAAATTTCCCGCTAAAATTTTTGTGTCCATTTCTTGACTAGCTGATCCTAAAAATCTTCCTGGATTTCACTGCTCTGGTAACTTCGGAGACCTCTTTATTCACGCAGTTCCTCGTCTGCAACGTCAAGAATTGCCCATTTAACTAGTCCCTAGGATTACATACTTCGTTGAAGATTTCCGTCTTCTGGGTTGTTGCTGATGACGGAGGCAGTATGACCTCTGAAACGTTGGTTAACATCGACCAGACTACACGGCGCAATAACCCAGAAGACAGAAATCTTCATACTCCTCGCCCTGATGACAGAGGCAGTATGACCTCCGAAACGTTGGTTAACATCGACCAGACTACACGGCGCAATAACCCAGAAGACAGAAATCTTCATACTCCTCGCCCTGATGACAGAGGCAGTATGACCTCCGAAACGTTGGTTAACATCGACCAGACTACACGGCGCAATAACCCAGAAGACAGAAATCTTCATACTCCTCGCCCTGATGACAGAGGCAGTATGACCTCCGAAACGTTGGTTAACATCGACCAGACTACACGGCGCAATAACCCAGAAGACAGAAATCTTCATACTCCTCGCCCTGATGACAGAGGCAGTATGACCTCCGAAACGTTGGTTAACATCGACCAGACTACACGGCGCAATAACCCAGAAGACAGAAATCTTCATACTCCTCGCCCTGATGACAGAGGCAGTATGACCTCCGAAACGTTGGTTAACATCGACCAGACTACACGGCGCAATAACCCAGAAGACAGAAATCTTCATACTCCTCGCCCTGATGACAGAGGCAGTATGACCTCCGAAACGTTGGTTAACATCGACCAGACTACACGGCGCAATAACCCAGAAGACAGAAATCTTCATACTCCTCGCCCTGATGACAGAGGCAGTATGACCTCCGAAACGTTGGTTAACATCGACCAGACTACACGGCGCAATAACCCAGAAGACAGAAATCTTCATACTCCTCGCCCTGATGACAGAGGCAGTATGACCTCCGAAACGTTGGTTAACATCGACCAGACTACACGGCGCAATAACCCAGAAGACAGAAATCTTCATACTCCTCGCCCTGATGACAGAGGCAGTATGACCTCCGAAACGTTGGTTAACATCGACCAGACTACACGGCGCAATAACCCAGAAGACAGAAATCTTCATACTCCTCGCCCTGATGACAGAGGCAGTATGACCTCCGAAACGTTGGTTAACATCGACCAGACTACACGGCGCAATAACCCAGAAGACAGAAATCTTCATACTCCTCGCCCTGATGACAGAGGCAGTATGACCTCCGAAACGTTGGTTAACATCGACCAGACTACACGGCGCAATAACCCAGAAGACAGAAATCTTCATACTCCTCGCCCTGATGACAGAGGCAGTATGACCTCCGAAACGTTGGTTAACATCGACCAGACTACACGGCGCAATAACCCAGAAGACAGAAATCTTCATACTCCTCGCCCTGATGACAGAGGCAGTATGACCTCCGAAACGTTGGTTAACATCGACCAGACTACACGGCGCAATAACCCAGAAGACAGAAATCTTCATACTCCTCGCCCTGATGACAGAGGCAGTATGACCTCCGAAACGTTGGTTAACATCGACCAGACTACACGGCGCAATAACCCAGAAGACAGAAATCTTCATACTCACCGCTGTGAGAACCTCAAGTCTTACATACTTCGTTGTCAGATCGCGTCCTAACTAAGAGACCGCGTTTCACAGCTTTTCGAAACAAATAAAAAAACTATTGTTGCCCACCCCTGGAGGACCTAACAGAGATGAAGTGTCAGGAGACTGCGAAAAATCTGGGCAGTAAGAAGTTGTGTGATTTGTAATCATCGCCAAATATTTCGGTGACCGAATCCAAGATTATGAATTGGCAGGGCATGTAGCGCGCATGGGAGAGAGAAGAAGTTTGCAAACATTTGTGTTGGAAACCCTGAAGGAAAGACACAACTCGGCAGACCTAGGCGTAGACAAAAGTATAATATTAAAATAGATCTTAAGGAAGTATAGGAGGATGTAGAATGGATTCATCTGGCTCAGGATAGGGAATTTTGCATGATCTTGAAACACAGTTTAGAGCCTTTGAGTTCCATGAAAGGTGGGGAATTTCTTAAAAAACTGAGCTGCCATCAGCTTTTAAAGAAGGATTCTTCTCCGTGAATCAGAGCTCTTATTGTGCCACTCGTGTTCATGAAATTAGCTTTCGAATTAAATAATAAGACTGGTGGTCCGAGGGGCATTTGTTACCGAAATGCTATCCCCCGACGTGCACGCCACTGATGCCAGTCTGCAACGTCACCTCTCCCTGTTGCTACGATGCATCATCTCTAGCGCCGGCCGCGTCTGGCACGATTCCACCCCCACTCCCACCCCCCCAA